TGCATGGCAGCTGGATGCTGGAATACATCGGGTAAAAGGGAAAAAAATTTGTTATTTCACCTTTTCTGATTCCTGATCCTCCACAGACGGGTTCATCGTTGGATCGCCAACTTGAAGAGGGAGGATTTACCATCAAACTTCTTGGATAATAGCGCGTTGTGATAAACACCAGATACAGCACTGGGACTTGATCAACAGCCGATACCGCACCGTGACGTCACTAACCAGTAGGTGGCAGTAGTGTTCTTTGACTTTACTGGAGCAAAGGGCATTCAAATGACAATTACACTTAATTAAAAACACTTATCATTTATTGAACAGGATGTAATAATTTCATATTTAAAGCACTTTCAGAAGTTTGATTCTGAATATGAGCGGACTTTTCCTTTAACAGGATGCTTTGAAACAAAACGGTGTAGTTCTCTATAAATTTCTACAGCAGGAATTTAGTCCTTTCTAAAGAGCCACAGTTGGATTATTTTTTTAGGTTGTAACATAAAACTTCTGTAGAGATGAACTTTATATATTTTGGCAAATGTTAAAAAGACTGTTTTTCCAACGGAAGGACAAGAAACCTGGATCTAAGTGTTTCACTTTCAGATCATTCTAATGTGGAAAATAAAGTCTGCTTTAAATTTATTCCTCTCAGGGTGATTTTTCCCATTTTTATATTTATTATGAATCATCTCAGAAAGCTAAATCAGACCAAAGCATTTTATACACATTAAAAAATAAAGTCTGTTTCCTTGGAATAAATATATTGCTCTGGGATTTGAGCAGGTAAGACTGATTGTTTATATATAAAATAAGCTTTATGGTAAAGAGCATAATATCCAGTTATTTTAAGGTAAAAGTCCTTAATTTCATCAGCAGATCACATTGATCTGCTCAACATAGGAGGGAAAACACTTATTTTAAGAGCATGATCCAAGTGTTCAAGGCCTTCAAGATGATCAAACCAGGATCATGGAGCTGCTTAGAAAAGATAAAACTGTTCTGGGTTTGGTAAAACATCAGCAGCAGATAAAGAGGCTCCCTCACTCTCTATCCGTCCAGAACCAGGGAGCTTTCAGCTGAAGAGTCTGATCACAGTTAAAGTTCATCCTCTGCCTTCATGAGGAAATATTCTCCAGACAGAAGCGCAGCGGGACTCCAGCTTCTGATTCCTCTGCTCAGTCTCTCTCATTAAGCAGCCCTTTCCAGGCTGCAGTATTCCTTGTTACTGGGGAGCATTTATCTGCCGGCGTTTTTTTCCTTCCACTAAACATTCCATCATTAATCCTGGATACGGCTGCCCTAGATACATCCAAGTTTGCAGCTTCGTTCCGCCACAGTAAGGCTGCTGTCCACCATCCACCCACCCAGGGTTTAAAGCGCCACATTTTAATTTATTCTTTTTCAGGTGTTTCTGTTGTGTCCAGTTAACAGCTTTAACAGAAATATAGGGTTTATTTATATCCATCTAATAAATGTATATATATTTTTTTATTTGTTGAGATGCATCTGAACATGGATGTATAAAAAGCAGAGAGGATTAGATCAACGGTGTCTAAAATATGCTTAAAGCACTGAAGGGACACAACTGATCAGAGTTTTTGAAATTGAAAAATTTAAAAGTCAGTAGAACCAAAGCATAACTAGACTCAGGTTTGCCTGTTTTTTAATATTAGACACCTTTTATTGTTGTTTTGTAAACACGTAGGTAATGTTATGGAGTTGAGGGTGGGGGTGACAGAAAGCAGCAGCCTCCCTACTCTAGACAAGGGTGAAGGGAGGGTCATGAGATAAGAATGAGATCACACAGCCTCCTTCAAGCCGTGAACAGAAGACCTGTCCTGAGTGTTTATCTGGCTAAAATTGATGTCCATGAATTGAGTGTTTTTTTTCTTCTTTGGATTAACCAAATGTTTTTGTAAGAAAGTTCTTTATGTAGGGGTGGATAGTTCCAGGCAGAGTGTGTGTATTGGGAATTGCTGTTTAAATGTATGAACTGAGCTTTGTCCAGTCAGAGCTCCATCTCTCAGTCTGAGGACGTTAAATAAGTTTGAATATTCTCTTGCAAGAGTCTCAGAATCCCCTCCAGCTTCCAGCCACTGGCCTTCTCCTGGGCGTGCAGTTTCTTTGCTCTGACTCCACCCTTTCACTGAATTACAGGGTCTGACCAGGAGAGGACGCTTCTCTTTACATCTTAATGTCCATAAATCATGACAGATTATAAGTTTAAAAAAGGAATTGCAGGGGACCAGCCGAGGGCCCATCAAGGAAAGTGGAGAAATTCTGAATGGTTCAGTCAGAGCTACCATTATGGATGAGCTTTTTGCACTTTATTTTTAACTGTTACAAGGTGTGCATCTGACTGCTGGTGTTGCTGAAACAATCAAGTTTATGGAAGAAGTCTTCATTTCATGGATTACAATAATTTCTTTTTTTTTTATCTGAAAATCCTTCCAGATTAAAACCTGACAAACAGTGCCTGAGATCTGCAGACTGACTAAACTAATACACAATATTCTAATATAAATTATCTTCAAATAACAGTTAACCCTTTATTGGGCACTCAGTTAAATATTTTCAAGCCAATAGTGTTATTGGAATCCAGGACAAGACCTTATTGGAACATTCTAAAAATCTGGATATTTTGATGGCAAAAATTAATGTCAATGCAATTAGAAACACCAACCTGCCCGGATATATTAAGAAAAATAATAAAAGTGCTTCATGAGAAATTCAAGAAAAACACTTTGAGTGAAAGAAACACATTTCTTTGGTGCACCATAACCTTAGAGGCATTAATGCTGATACTGACATTTTTTAGTTTATAAACCTAAATATAATTGTTAAATAGGATTATTAACTCTTCAATTAGCTTTTTACCTTTTTTTCCCCAACTTAATTTCCAGTAAATATTTTATCATTCTAGGGATAATCTAATTGGTCAGATGCCAAAACAAGATGTACAGCCATGTAGCAGCATCTTTGCTGAATATAGATCTTGTGCTTCTAGAGCTCACTGAGGGACGGGTGTTGAGGACTCCATTTGTAAGGGGTTTGCAAGTGATCTAAAATGGTAACTTGCCCTATAAACGTTTAAATACTTAATTTGGATATCTCTGAAAATGTTATTAAAAAAGTTGACAAATGCAACATCTAACCTCTCAGCAGTGGCCTATCATCCCCTTTCCCTGGTTTCATTGATGGTTTTAATATTACTCTTTTCTTTAATTAAATTTTTAACCTCCTCATAGCTTTCAACCAGTGAAACACTGTTCACCAATGAACTGATCGACTGCAGCCTGCTTATATGAATATTGACCTGAAAGATAAATTAATTAATCTCAAATTAAAGTTTGAATCAAAACCTACATGGGGCTTCTCTGATTTTTTTTCATTGTTTTTTTTATATGAAGTCTTATTTCATTAAAAATATGAACCCTAATGTTTCATAATGGATCTGCATCCAAACCAGGATTATCTGATACTTTTGAGGTCTGATGTCAGGAAGGACCTTTTACTCCCCAGCAGCTGCTGATTGGATGAGCTCAGACGTTGCAGCGTCTCCTCCTGCAGCCCACAATCATCAGACGTGAACATGGTGTTTGTAAGCAAAGCATTTATTAAGTTCCAACTCCAAACATGTAACACATGGATATGCACTGATTGAACAAAGCCGTTTCAGTTTTCAGCAACATCTCTAAAAGTCATGCGTCCACACTGCCTGCTCTAGGAGCTGATTTCTAGCCTGCTGTGGAAGCTGGGGGCTGCCATGCAGAAACCGTACGCCGCCACACATGCAGCTCTTTATAAAGTCGTACATCATGCCGTTTGAGTCCAGAACGTTTGATCCGAGGAGTAAAAACTGTTCATTAAATGGGACAGGAAGGGACAAAAGCATGCTGAAGGTTTACCGTCAGACTAAAACTGAACGTTAAAGATGGCGTCCTGGTCACACAGAGAGGAAACGGATCATCTGAGGCACTCTAGATTACGGAACATGAGATTAGCAACGTCCGTCCAGCTTTTACAGGCAAATACAAAACTTTGTGGTTCCATCTGTTCAGTCAGAGCAGGAGTTCTCTAAGAGAAAATTAATTTACATTCAACATAAACTGGTACGTTAGTGCCATGAAGGTGACCCTCTAAACGAGGCACGGTGAAGAACAATCGACAGGAGCCCCTCACCAGGTGCAGCAGGCTTCACAGGAAGGTGCTTCTTCAGGAGCGACATTCAACAGTGACACCAAACATGCGGAGGGAATGATGTGCATAGGTTTGTCTCCAAGGGCCAGCAGAGATATCTGGTTAAAGGGCGACAGCTGAGCCAGGTATGGGGGGTAGGGGGCGCTCTCCCCTCTGCTCTGGGTCGAGGCTTATCAGCTGACTGGGAAACAAAAAGGTCATTTTCTTTATTTGTGCTTTAAATTATTCTGATCTGACCTGCTTAAAGGAACCATTTCCCATGTTTAAAGATGAAAACATTTTCTTCACTCTAGCGGTTTGACAAACATTGGGAGAGGGAAGCCATCTTGAATTAACTTCTTTTGTGTTTAAAGGCCCAGTTTATTCCTGCCGTTTGTTAGAACAGGATTTCTGAATTTCCAGTATTTAGCATGAAAACAAAAAGCACAAAGCCTCCTTCAGAGCACAGAAACAGCTGAGAAATAAAAGTTTGAAGCTAATTCTATTCAAACTTAACCTTAAATGTTTTTTTTTGTCCTTAATAATAAACAGAATCAGCATCATTATTCCCCAAACTGTGGACCATCACCTCCATCAGACGTGAATGAACTGAAGTGAAACAGTAGGATGGGGTCACAGGTCTGACTGGAAGCAGGGAACAGAACCAGGGCTGGACTAAAAACTGGGTATCAGAACCAAAAGAAGCCGGTCCGAACCCGCTCCCCATCAAGGCTTCCTCTCTTCTTCAGGCGGCTCCAGCTCTGCGCTCTCCAACAGGTTGAGCTTCTCCTCCTCTGGCATTAGAGTGATGGGGTTGATTTGGAAAATGTTCCTGTGGAGCAGAACCAAGGAGAGCCGTTAGATCACAACATAACCCAGATGTTCTCTATAACCCCCCCCCACAGGAACACTGACTTGTGTTCACAGGCTGGGAAGAACAGGTCCAAGATCTTGACGATGAACGCCGAGCCGACAACACCGATCACAACCACCCACATGATGAGGAAGAAGAGCGGCAGCGACTCGTAGCAGAAGCTCCGCAGACGCTCCCTCGCTTGCTCCACCCACTGACACATGGCCTGAGGAGAGGATGGACAGATTAGAGCAGGACGGAACCACTGGATCAACCCTTAGACACTCTATGGAGATAAAGTCAGGCCATAAAATTAATCATCACAACGTTTTCTATTACTGAAAAAAAAAAATCTGAAAAAATTCAGTTTATTTCTATAGCGCCAATTCACAGCACATGAACAGGACTACACTGAAAAACAGGCCACATCTAAACAAAGGTGTTGATGGCAGCAGCACAGCTGATATTTCTCTCCAGGATGGAGTCACAGCCATTCTTGAGATTGCTGTCACTTATTGAACTGAGCCGTTTGAACCCATGAACATGACCTGAAGCGCTCCATCATAGCTCTGGCAGTAGGTTTCAGGTTTTATATCAGAGGAAACCAATTAAAAGCCAGCAGAGGTCCGAATAAAGAAAATCATCAACCAGTAAAGCTTATTTATTGTAATCTGTTACTTTAAACTGAAATAAAATGAGGTGTTTAAGGATCCATGTTATACATTGAATTTTTAAATATAAGGAAAATCTAAAGTGTTTTTTGAAGTAGAGAACAACAATCGTTCATTTTGGTATATAGACAACTTCCTGATTCACATATTTCATAAAACACCTGAACTGATCGTTTTCTGTCTTAATGTTGGCAGTGGGCTTTATGCTGCCCTGCAAGGCTTTAAACCTGGTCTGAATGGAGACTAAGTCATTCTAAAGCACATATCAAGGAGCTCATTTTGAGCCTGGATCCATATTTATTGTTGATTCTGTTCATGGTGGAGAATCCTGCTTCACAGCAGCAGGTTGAGCCAAACATCCTCTAAATGCTCAGGGTCATCTTTGAGCACCATTTCACTTTTCTTTCACCAGTTCACCACAGTTCTTCCAGCAGTCCACACTTTCTCTGCTCTCTTTTTCTCATCATCTTCTCCTTCTTTCCCATCGCCCGGCTTGCCACAGGTTTGCCTGCTGTGTCTAAAAGTAGCAGCAGCAGCAACCCAGACTGACAGCAGCTCATTGGATCATTTGGATCACGTGTAGCCTGGAGCCGGACGCTCTGGAAGGCTTTACCGTATTAACAGGAGAAGCAGCGCAAGTGAAATTACACTGCCGTCGGATAACACGCAGTAATTTATAAATGTTTTAAATCAGGTTGGGTCCAGATTAGCCAGCAGGGGGTTCTGGATCCGGACCGCTAATCTGTGACCTCTGATTTAAAGTCTTATACAGCTTCTCTTTCTAGCAGGTTTTCTCCCAGCATGTAGCTCCAATCATTGTCCTCCTAGGCTCAACTGCAAACATCCCACAGCATAATGCTGCCAACAGCACGGCTTTGGTTGAAACACTGTGTTTAAGGTGAAGTGTAGGGTTAGCTTTCTGCACCGTGCAGATAAACCAAAACTGAGGATGTGAGAAAAAAAGATCAACCTATGATTGTTGAGTAATGAGTCATCAGATTAACATTTGTTTCATCCATTAATTGATACTTTAATTATTGATCATTGAATTTCAAATATTTTATTCATATTTAATTCAGTGGCCTTATATGTTCCTGTTTTGTTATATTTTATAAATAAGTTGAACAAAGTGTGAGAAAGCGTGGAGCATGTTTACATGTTAACTGTAAATAAAGAAAATGGTGGTATATTTTCTTCTGCTGTTTCTTGCCTACAAAGCATGAAAGTGAGCTTGTAGTTAAATCTGGTTTGTGTAGAACATTTGTACTGCAGATTCCTTGTCAAATAAAAAGATTTAAAAATAACATTATTATACATTATAATATTTAATACAGCTGGTACAATGAATTGTTAAAAAGGATTTTATTTCGACTCAGTATACTGGGATACAAATATTTTGCCTTTTATTTTATGGAAAGATCATAAAGAGATTAATTAATGGTTTGTTGATCAGTAAGATCAATTAACTTTAGATTAATTCATTAATCCATAGTGATGGTGAGATGAAGCCTCATGAGGCATTTAACCGTTTGGCCAAATAGCTTCAACGATCCCCACAGTTCTTGAAGCTTCATGTGAACATGTCACCACCTACTGGTGGAGTGCAGAACTACAGTTCGTAATATCTGATTTTTTTTTTATATTTTTTTTTTTCCTCCATTTAGGTTCCTTTGAAATTGTTAATGATTGGTGTGAGCCAAACCTTATAAAATCCTTTGCAAGGTTTTTTGTGAGGAAAATGTCTTAGAAATGTCTTGTTTTTCTGCCATTTTAGTGAAATAAACTCGAGCACACAGTGAAAGTGTTTGTGAAAATGGGGCAATGATGAGCAAAATGAGAGGTATTACTAATTTTTATTCAAAAATAAAAAAAAACTATCACAGCTTTGGGTTTTATTGGGTTGGAAGTTATGTGTTCAACCAATCTTTTAGTTAAACCAACCAATCTAATTTGGCAGCGTTTTTACCCAATCTATGTTGGTAAAAAGCAACCCAATAAAAATTGGTCACTTTGGCCAAAATACTGGTTAAGTAGTAGAGCAACCTTTAAAGCTTTTACACCAAGGCTCCAACTCACAACCTTTGGATTGAAGGGCAACATCTCACAGAAGACGCCACATCTATACTGTCTCATTCTCAGAAAGCAACAGTAAAATACCTAATGACACAACTGAAACCTGTGGCCTGTTCAAATTCAGATTATTACATTGTTTATTCTAATCAAAATAGTTTTAACCAACTAGATTGTTTTTTTTACCAACCAATCTATTCTTAGAATCTATCCAAACTCTAACCAACTGACAGTTACATAAAATCTGTCTTTCTACTCACCCAGAAAAAAACATCTGACACACGTGTCACAATTTTGGTTCTGTTTTCTTTTGAGTTTTCAGTTTCACTATGATCCATGTTTTTCTTTGTTTTCTAGTTTTATTGGTTTTATTCCTATTTTGTGTTTTTTTCTGGATATATTTAAGTTCTTAGTTTTTTCTGGGGTGCCCTCTGTTGCCCTCTAGTGTTGGTCTCCTTTTCCCTAGCTCCTTCTAGATGAATGGATCCTACCAGCAGCGTGATAAAATCACTTTCATCCACACAGCTCCGACAGCCAATCAAAAAGCCAAACGCATCCAGGAGTTCAGGTCCCACCTACCGAGTAGGATGATGTAGCTTCCTTGGGCGGGCTGACCCTCTCCCCCTGCTGCGATGGGATTGGTTCTGTGTCATCGGGGATGTCAGTGTAGATCTCGTCATACAGCAGGTAGGGGTCCATCCTTAGAGGGGTTTCTGGAAGCTTCCCTGGAGCGGCGATCTCCTCCTGCGTGGTCTCTGACTGCTTCTCTGTGTGCGGGTATTGGCTGGTGGTCTGAGACATCAGCTGCTCTTCATCTGGTCACAAAATTAGAGGTAAAATGACAAACTGCAGGGAAGAATAATAAAAGAGAAGCGAGTGGAGGTTCTGGAACAAACCTCTTCTAGAGTTTGGGGGATCTGTCACCACCACGTCATTTTCCCTGGGAATCTGAAAGAGCTCACTGTGTCCGATGGGGTAGATGTTGGTAAACTGAGCCAGCTTCTGGAAGTCTGGGCTCATCAGTATCTTCACCTCACACATGTCTGGTTGGTGGACCTGAGCGGCACAAAGAGAAGGTGAAGACTGCAGTAATAACACATGAATAAATGGGCCGAAAGGGAGAAGGAAAAAAAAGAGTTCACCTCTTTGCCTTCCAGCTCGATGACTTGGCTGAAGACCTGCAGAGCCACCACCTCATCGGAGTCGCTGTACAGCCGGTTCTGGCTCACCATCACCCGGGTGACGGCTGACAGCAAGTCCCCCGAGTCAAACTCACTGCTTCCATTACTGCTGTCCACTGGAAAACACCAAGGAGTCAGTTACACTGCTAATCATCCAAAGTTCAAGCTGTGTTTTTATTTCAACTTTTAGTAAATGCACATTAAAAAAAAGAAGAAAAATCTGGTATTTGTTTGAAAGGATACTGTTTTATTCACATTTTCTAGAGCTTGTACTGCAGTCATAGATTTCCTACCATGCTGAAACGAGTCAATAACTTTCTGTTACCTAATCGTGGCTTTTTTTTTAACAACCTGCAATGTTTGCGGATAGTCAGCCGAGGCTCTGCTCTTGGATTTTTTTTAAAAACAAAAAACGAGATATAGCTGGAACGGTTCACAAAATCCACGGTTCGGTTCGGTTCACGGTTTCGTGGTCAAGGTTTTCGGTTCGGTATATTTTGGTTGTTAGGAAAATCTATTATGTCTTGTATAGTACAACACATGTTGCACAATGCTTGCACACTGTTGCACTTTTATCCTCAACCTTCTTTCCGCCGTCATCGTAGGTCACTCTAAATGCAAAGTGGTCCCATACAGCAGACCTATAAAGTGCTGCTGGCACGTCTTCCAACTCCTGTTCTTTCCCACTCACCATACCCACACAATTCTCCACAACAACTGATTTTTTTCTGCTACTTCGCTTCTTCTTCTTGTTTACTACTGGTGGTTGGCTT